AAAAAAATACTCCCCAAATAGTAATTTCTCCAAAGTACTTACAGTTCCATAGCTAACGACGAGCAGATTGAACGCAATAAAAGAGAGGTTATTAATTCATGAACAAAATTTTTACGTGCTAAAAATAAATCAACCAATTCCTCTTTTACAAAAACACAAACGATTTTTTTCAAGCAAAACGGAAAATTTTAATCTGAACTAACATTCATCTAACAAAAAACAAAAATTAATTAAAAAAAATCAACTAACCATCTTATCTCTTCAGTGGTGTCAGCTTTCAAGTAGCAGATTGGTACATGTTTTTCGCTAGAATTGGGGTCAATGTCATCAACTTTAAAAGCCAGGAGAATACTATGTTGATGCGCAGTTATAGCATCAGCTTCACAAACCCGAGTACATCGTGACATATCCATGATCATATGGGGAACTGTGTCTGGCTGAAACAAAATAATTTAAATGATAGTTTATACTTCAAATGTTCAATTAAATTTTAACTCCGAAGAGTAGCTGCAAAACTGAGAAGGGTAAAACAAACATTATCGTCAATCGCATAACTCAATTCCCCGTCGTCGTAAAGCGTAAAACATCTTCGCTGCCACCTCTGTAATTCAAGTAGCAACAATAACAAAATTTCAAACGTTTTACTAAATTCCAACTTTTACTCACCACTACGCAATTCTAATACCGTCCAGTTAAACAGTAGGCTACTACACCTAGAACAGTAATTATTGATTTGATAACTAACTTACTAGAACCTATGCTCCAAACAACAGTGAAAATATATAAATATTAGTTCTAAGTTTCTTTTTGAAAGAAACTTCGCCTCTCTCATTGTTAACAAGACTGTTCAAGTACGCTTACTTCTTCAATTTTTCTTCTGAATATTTATCTTCTTTTGTCAGTTATCTACATGTAAAATGACTAACTATAAAATAGTTAAAACTATCAAATTAAACCTTAAATAGAACCGGAAAAAACCATCCACCTTTATTTAGCAATAAAAATAATGTTCCTTTGATGCATTT